CACTATCTGGAATACTTATGGGGTCAGTCTATCGTTTTCATTTCTTTATCCAACCCTTGTCTCCGTTGCATGCGAGTCATTCTGCAATGACTCTGATCTTGCCTAGCAGAGATGGGGGTCCTCCTTGAGCTTGGGGTTGTTGTTGGGCTTTATCATCATTTCACCTATGCTAGTCGGCTTGCCTTGGAGAGTCCGTCTATCATTTCACCTCTATTGATTGGTTCTCGTTCTTTGATGGGGCCGAGCAGTGGTGAATCGACTTAGGCGACCTTGTCTGACCAATTTCTCTACCTGATCCTTGAGATTGATACACTCCTCAGTGTTATGGCCATGGTCGTGGTAGAAGCAACAGTACTTAGACTGGTCTCGCCTGGCTGAGGACGTCTTTATAGGTTGGGGCTATCTGAGGTGTGGTCATGCTGTATTTGGTTTAAAACTTGTTCCATTGGTAAAAGTATTTACTTATATCGCTCTAATCGGCCAAAGGGCCGAGAAGGGGTCGGTCGGTCGGAGCACAAAGGTTGGTCAGAATAACAGGAAGGTCGACCGGGGTATTGGGAGTGTGCAGGGCTCAAGCTCTTTGCATCTTTCTTTGGATTGTAAGGGTTTGAAAGTAGAATCTTGGCGGGCCACCAAAAAACTTTCAGCGTTCATGTACTTTTGAGCTTTGGCTAGAAGGGTTGCAATGGTGGTTGGAGGATTTTTGAAGAGGGGAAAAAAAAAAAAATTTCTGATGGACGGAGACTAGCCATAAAGGCTGTTGAGATGACCTTGTTGTCATTCTCTTTAACTTGTAAGGCTTCTGTGTTAAAGCAAGTGAGGAAGCTGCGCAGAGACTCTCCTTCTGTTTGTCGGATATTCAGCAGCTGGGTCACCAGATACCTTTGCCGTTGAGCTCCGATGAAATGACTCAAAAAGGACTTACTCGGTTGGTCAAAAGAGGTGATAGAGTCAAGCTTAAGCTGACTAAACCAAAGTCATGCCAATCCCTTTAACGTGACTAGGAAGGCACGACACATGATCTCATCAAGGAAAGTGTGAAGGACCACGGGAGTCTTGTAGGCCTCTAAGTGATCAACAGGGTCAGCAATGTCGTCGAAGGTGTCGATCAATGGCATCTTGAACTTAGGAGGTAGAGGCTTATCCTTGATAAAGGCGGTAAATAGGGAATCAGCTGTAGAGGATGGCTTGGACTACATGTTCTACATGACCCCTTGTAGTTAGAGCTTGACAATGCGTAACTCCTCGTCCCAAACTAGAACGTTATCTCCTTTGGTGAGGGGGGAAGGTTGGACACTAGATTTCCCTTCATGAGTGATAGGGAGGCGTTGTTGCGGTGATTATGGAAAGGCTGAGGGTCATTTGGATGTAGATGCGACCTCTGTGGGGAAAATGGCAGGTCATTTGGGTTAACGATGGTAAAAAGAATGGGTCTTGTGATGCATGCTGCTAATTAGAAAGATGGTTTTGGGCTTGATCATGGTTCAAGGGGATAACTTGTGGTGTTAGAGATAGAGGGACAAGTAGTTCACGCTGAAGTAAAGCATTGATCAATGCTTGGTTCTATTCTGCTAGGTGGTTGATACTATTAGTGAGCTCTGTGAAATGTGAAGATGGGTTATTTGGGCTAGAGGACTTGGCTTAAGGGTTCTCGATAGTGTGATGCGAAGCCATGGATTGCGTTGTAACCATTCACTCCGACGCTTAGAGATGAGTGGAAGGAGAATTGTTTCCGGTGGCGGTGAACACAACTGTCGACCGAAAAAATGTTCTCACAGACGACGCCAACTGATGATGCAATTTGGTCTGCAAGAGATGGGCCAAACTGATGCAATGCTTCACGGGTTGACCGTCCTTCTCAATCACACCTGCAACAAGCCCAATAGGAAGGTTCCGAAATGTGGACGATTCATTCCTGTGGACCCTCTGACGATCAAGTTAGATTGATAATACAAGAGTAAGAACTTAGAGAGAATACTGAGAATAGAGAGATAGAGAGAGAGTTACTTGTTATCAAATATTCTTCAGAGGCTTCCTTATATCTCTTACTAATCATTTCCTTATCCATTCAAGACGTCTCATTGGCCAAAAGGCTATAGCCTATTTGTTGTCGGTCATGGTGGTTTCACCATGCCCCAGAGGGAGAGGTCTAATTGCATTTAATGCCATGACAGTTTCATTTAAAGTTTGGCGTATGGGTTCAATAATTTTGTAGAATCTTTGTCTGCCACGTAGCTAAGTACCTATTTGACACATGTCTAATTGTAACTGGGCCTGGACTAGTATAGGTTCCCCATTGGGCCTGCTGTTGGACTTCAATTGCTAAGCTTTGGCCAAGAAACTGTTTGGACAACCTAAGACAACAACCGTCGGTTGGGCCCTTTTGGGCCATGCCCATCAAATTGTAATATTAGAAGTTTCATTTTGATATATATAAAATTATTCATTTCAAAAGAAAAAAATTACATAATTTTATACTTTTTTAGTCATTGTCACATGCCCAGAGGGTACCTAAGCGCGCTAAACAATTTGGACCATTGATTTTTTTGATCTAGTCTCACGAGTGCTATGTGAAACATAGATGAGAGTCCAGATCAAACAACTTTTATAGAAAATCTATTTTAGTGCAAAACCGTTGTCAGAAATGGATTGTATCACCAGATCTCAGAGTTGCCACCTAATCTCTTGGAAAAACTAGGAAACTCGTGCCTCGTGCCAAGGCCACTGTTCGTCATAACCAAATATGTCTTGGTTTGGAATCTTAGGTATGAGGGGAGAAGGTCATTAATTGAGCACCCTCGCTCACCCAATCAAAAGATCAGCCTCTACTAAATCATGATATGAGTTTTATTGACTTTATATGTTCATATTCTAATTATTTAATAAATACTAAAATTATTATGTAAATCAATCAAGTATAGATTGTGTCATTCATTTTAGAACATTTGATTTCGTGTATTTTTGAAAAAGTTTTGAATAATGTACAATTCAAAAGAAATTGAGTTCACAAACATGAAAATTGATATTATTCCAAATTGAACAATACAACCTCCACTTACTGGCATTCATAGAGATATATTAGTTAAACAAGTAGCCGCATGGTAGGATGCTTAGACATAGTAAGAAAAATACTCACAAGAGAGATGCTAAAGTATAAACACTTACATAGTATTTACTGGCGTCCCGCGAAAAGCTGCAAAAAAGAGTTAGGGAAATATGCATGATCCTAGATACAAAATTCTAATGCAATACATATACAAAAATGCAACTAAAAATCTGGCTATTAATACATGACATGTGAATCATTTCAACACATAAGGTAGTGCATAAAATCACATAGAAATTGATTAAACCCACAGATGCAAATGAGCCGAATTTAAATTCATGAAATATGGATGCAAAGCATATGATGAAAAACAAAATATGTTATTATTTACAGTTATAGAAAGTGAGTAAATAAAAAGGATAGAAAAAAAGTAGAGAATGGACATTATTACAACAAACTAAATCTAACAAAACATACAAACAATTTATTTAGAAAATCTAAGGATAGGTGGCTCAGCCAACCATTTCTAATAAGCTAAATCACATATGTAAAATAAAAAACAAAATTTAAAATAAAGAGACTACATCAGGAGGGTCAGCCAACTATTTAAATCACATATTTAAAATAAGAAGCAAAACTCAAAATAAAGAAACTACATTAGGTGGCTCAACCAATCATTTCTAACAAGCTATATCACATATTTAAAATAAGAAACAAAATTCAAAATAAAGAAAACTACATCAGGTGGCTTAGCCAACCATTTCTAACAAACTATATCACATATTTAAAGACAAGAGAAATAGAAATAAAATAAATAAGAAAATTGCAAAAATTCACATTTGGAGGAAAAGATGAATTTTCTAATTGCCAAACTTTCTTCATAACACCATTACCGTTATGGAATATGCTTTGAAATCTCATCAAGAAGTTTCAAGTTTAAGCTTTAATGAAATTTTGAGTGGTATATATCAATGGACAGAAAAGTTGATTGGAAGCTTTGGTTGAAAAGGCTCTCGTATTCTCAAAATAACTCAAGATTTTTGAAAATCAATCTCGCCCTCAAGATTTTTTGAAACGAAAATTCTTTTGAAAAAAATTTTCTCCTTTTTTTTTTTAGACTTTTGAAACAAAATTTTCTTTCTCCAAAATTTTCTCCTTTTTTCCTTTTGAAGCAAAATTTTATTTTCCAAAATTTTTCTCTCCACGAGACTTTTGAAACAAAATTTTGTTTTCTAAAATTTTCTCCCTCTCTCCAAACAACAAAATGAAGGATGTTTATAGAATTAAAAATCACCTAAAACACATGGCTAGCCATGTGGTATTTCCAAAAACATATAGTTTGCCATGTGGTATCTCAAAATCATGTGGCTTGCCATGTGTTTTCAAAAACATGTGGCTAGTCATGTGGTATGGGAGCCAATTTTTTCAAAACTGCTAAATTTTTCGAACAAGAAAAAATTTGAAAAAAGGTTTTAAATAGGTCTAAAATAATTCAGCCAAAACGGGTGTAACATTGGAATTAAAGCTTAAACCTAACTTTTCTGCTGAGAACTTCATAAAACAATTCCAATTTTCATCATCGGATGTTCGAAAGAAAACACCCAAATCTTTAGGCCAGTCAAAATGGGGTGTCTACCGTCATAACTAAAAAAATATATGTCATACATAATTAAATTTAAATACCATTACATGAAACATAATCAAACATCTCATTAATCTTAACTAAAATACTCTAGTATAATTTTTCTTTTATTTTTTATCCCTCATAAATAATCTATATATATAATATATTTATTGTTTAATTTTTACTTTTTATTCAAATTTAAAATCAAATTAAATAAAAATTAGTGAAAGATTAGACATGGTGTTAGAGAGTGCACACACTAACCAACTATTTTAATTCATCAGTAGGTAATGAGTCATTTTCCAAAGTCTTCCCCCATTTTCCAAGTCTTCCCTCATTTGTCTTTGCACAGTTGTCATGAGACCTTTATTCTGACATACATCTCAACTTAGGTCATTTAGTTTGGCAAAACATTATTTGCAATTTTGAGAGCTTTCCTTGAATTGAATCCAGACAACAAGTCAACATGGCTGCATCGTTTCTACCATTTGTGCTTCAGAATCTCAACTCCTTGATCCAAAAGGAGGTGGGCTTGCTTTGGGGTGTTGACAAGGAGATGAAAAAGCTTTCAAGCACTCTCACCACCATCCAGGCTGTCCTGCAAGATGCAGAACAAAAACAATCCCAAGAAAAAGCAATACAAAATTGGTTGAGAAAACTCAATGATGCAGCCTATGAAGTAGAAGACATCTTGGATGACTGCACAACCGAAGCCCTCCAATACGAATCAAAAAGGCTGAGTTCTAGTTCTCTAAAGAAGGTAATAAGCACTTCCTTATTGACTTATCCTGTTCAGAACATTCTGTTCCGTCACAAGATAGGGAATAGGATGAAAGATACCATAGAGAACTTAAATGCAATTGCTGAAGAGCGGATGAAGTTTCATTTACGTGAGGTGGTTGTGGAGAAGCGTGTTGAATTGGCTGACAGACGTGAAACCAGCTCTGCTCTAACTCAACCACAACTGTATGGAAGAGAAGAAGATAAAGAAAAAATTGTCAAAATGTTGGTTGAGAATATATGTGATTGCCAGGATGTTTCTGTCTACCCTATAATTGGCATGGGGGGGCTAGGAAAGACCACGCTTGCCCAAATGGTCTTCAACGATGAGAGGGTAAAGTGCCACTTTGAGCCTAAAATTTGGGTTTATGTTTCTCAGGATTTTGATGTGAAAAGGGTGATAAAAACATTAATCGAATCCGTATCTAAGGGAACCTGTGAAGCCTCAAACCTAGATTCTTTGCAGAAAAAGCTTCAAGAGATGCTAAATAGGAAAAGATATTTGCTTGTATTAGATGATTTGTGGGACGAAGATCAAGACAACTGGGAGGGGCTAAAGTATTTACTAGCATGTGGATCAAAAGGTGCTTCCATTATCGTTACTACTCGTGTTGCAAAGGTAGCATCAATCACGGGAACTGTTCCAGCACATCACTTGTCATTTTTATCTGAAGAAGATTGCTGGTTGTTGTTCAAACAACGGGCATTTGGACACGGGAATGAAGAGCATCCAAACCTTGTGGCCATTGGGAAGGAGATAGTGAAGAAATGTGGGGGTGTGCCTTTAGCTGCGAAGGCCCTTGGAGGGCTAATGCGCTTCAAAAGTGAGGAAACAGATTGGCATTATGTTCAAGAAAGTGAAATTTGGAACTTACCCCAAGACAAAAATTCCATCTTGCCTCTCTTGAGATTAAGTTACAATAACCTTCCATTGGAATTGAGACGGTGTTTTGCTTACTGTGCCATTTTTCTGAAAGGTTCTAAAATTGAAAAGGAAAAACTTATTCATCTTTGGATGGCTAATGGCTTTATTTCATCCAACGGAAAATCAGAGTTAGAAGATATTGGTAATGGTATATGGAATGAGTTATATTGGAGATCCTTTTTCCAAAATGTGGACAAAGATCCATCTGGCGTCATTATTTTCAAAATTCATGATCTTATGCACGATCTTGCCCAATCCGTTATGGAAGATGAATGCCATATGATGGAGGCTGAAAGCTCAAAGAATATATCAGTGCAAGGAATTCATCATGTTACACTGGTTGCTGACTATATGGATGTAGCTGTCTTTCCTAAAGCATTATATAGAGTTGAATCCTTACGTACAATTCTTCCACAAATTAGACAGCCATACACTTACACTCGTAGTTCTTTTTCTTTTTCTGTTGACTTCACAAATTTTGGTTCATTACGAGTGTTTGATGCATTCGGCTTCAACATGGGGCAGTTGTCATCTTCAATTGGTAAGTTAAAACATTTAAGGTACTTGAACCTTTCTGAAAGTTACATTCAGATGCTCCCAAAGTCAATTTGTAGCCTTCACAATTTGCAGACTTTAAACCTAAATTCCTGTTTTGAGCTTCAGAGGCTGCCCAAGAACATGAAATCCCTAAGAAGCCTCCGACATCTTTGTCTGAAAGGTTGTAGCAAAATACAGGACATGCCTCCAAAGCTTGGGCATTTAACTCTCCTGAGGACATTAAGCTTATTTGTCGTGGGTAAGAGTAGAGGTCATCGGGTAGTTGAATTGCAATGCTTAGATCTTGGGGGAGAATTGTGTATCCGTCACCTTGAGAGAGTGAGAAACTCAATGGATGCCAAAGAAGCCAATTTGGTCGGAAAACAGAACCTCCGAGTCTTGAAGTTATCATGGGGACATAACAGTGAATCAGAATCACAAGCAAATGTTGAACAACTACTTGAAGCCCTGGAACCTCACCCAAATGTTGAAGAGTTGTTCATAGACAATTACAGAGGTGCCCACTTCCCACTTTGGATGAGGGATTCAATTCTTAAAAACATAGTTTCTATTGTGCTACGTAGCTGCAGAAACTGTTTAGAACTTCCAGCCTTTGGACAGTTGCCTTCCCTGCGACGGCTTGTGATTTCTAACATGGATTATGTGGAGTACATTGACAATTACTTCCCTGGCGGAGGCCCAGTTAGAGGATTTCCGTCTTTGGAAGTACTCCTCATTTCTGGTTTGCCGAATTTGGTAGGGTTGTCAAGGGAGGAAGGAAGAGAGCTACTCCCTCGTCTTCACGAGATATACATCTGCAATTGCCCAAAATTGACCTTGCCGCGTCTTTCATCACCAAAACTCTTGACTGTCTCGAGTTCCAGCAACGAGGTACTAAGTTCAATCTCAAATCTTAATCATCTCACTACCCTTTCAGTTAATGGCGGGGACATGATTTCTTTTCCAGAAGAGATGTTGCAAAACCTAACTGTTCTTGAATCTCTACAAATTGAAAACTTTAGCCAACTTAAAGTGCTACCTACAAACTTGGAAAGCCTTGTCTCTTTGAAGTCATTTCGTATCTGGGGTTGTCAGGAGATTGAGTCTTTGCCAGATCCTGGGCTACGAAGCCTAAAGTCTCTCCAACATCTGACGATTAGCCAGTGCAATAATTTGAGTTCTTTATCTGAGAGTTTGGGACACCTCACTGCCTTGGAGGAATTGCATGTTTATCGGTGTCCCAAGCTAGTGACTTTGCCAGACAGCATTAAACATCTTGTTTCTCTTCGACGCCTAGATATTCGTGGTAGTGAGTTGAAGACTTTGCCTAAAGCATTGAAACATGTCCCTGCACTTCAATCTCTATCTATTTCTTGGTATACAGAGCTCACATCACTGCCTGAATGGTTGGGAAACCTTACGTCACTTCAATCGTTGCACATTGATTACTGTCCCAAGATTCCATCACTTCCACATGGCTTTCAAAGGCTAACCAACCTCCAAACTTTGAGCATTTATGGATGCCGTCCTGAATTGGTAAGGCGATGTCAAAAGGAAAAGGGGGAGGATTGGTATAAGATAGCACATATTCCAAAAATCAATCTGTAAGTGCTTGTTTTTTTTTTGTGAAGATTTGTAAATGTTTGAGTTATTCATAAAGAACAATTGCTTTTCTCTCTAAAGATTTGTAAATGTTTGAGTTATTCATAAAGAACAATTGCTTTACTTTAAAAGGTCATATTCTTGTTCAGGACAATTGCTCTCTCTTTTTCTCACGCATCACAAACTTGTAGAGGATTACTTCCCTGGCAGAGGCCCAGTTAGAGGATTTCCGTCTTTGAAAGTACTCGTTATTTCGGAGTTGCCGAATTTGGTAGGCTTGTCAAGGGAGGAAGGAAGAGAACTACTCCCGTCTTCACAGGATAAACATCCACAATTGCCCAAAATTGACGTTGCCGCATCTTTCATCACCAAAACTCTTGTATGTCTCGAGTTCCACGAACTTCAATCTCAGATCTTAATCATCTCACCACCCTTACCGTTCATGGCGGGGACATGGTTTCTTTTCCAGAAGAGATGTTGCAAAACCTAACTGTTCTTGAATCTCTACAAATTGAAAGCTATAGCCAACTTAAAGGGCTACCTACAAACTTGGAAAGCCTTGTATCTTTGAAGTCACTGAGTATCAGCCGTTGTCATGAGATTGAGACTTTGCCAGATCATGGGCTACGAAGCCTAAAGTCTCTCCAACATCTGACGATTGGAGACTGTAATAATTTGAGTTCTTTATCTGAGAGTTTGGAACACCTCACTGCCTTGGAGGAATTGTATGTTTATGGGTGTCCCAAGCTAGTGACTTTGCCAGACAGCATTAAACATCTTGTTTCTCTTCGACACGTAGAAATTCGTGGTGGACTTTGTGCAGAGTTGAAGACTTTGCCTGAAGCATTGAAACATGTCCCTGCACGTCAATCTCTATCTATTTCTGGGTATCCAGAGCTCACATCACTGCCTGAATGGTTGGGAAACCTTACGTCACTTCAATCGTTGTGCATTAGTTACTGTCCCAAGATTCCATCACTTCCACATGGCTTTCAAAGGCTAACCAACCTCCAAACTTTGGCCATTTATAGATGCTGTCCTGAATTGGTAAGGCGATGTCAAAAGGAAAGGGGGGAGGATTGGTATAAGATAGCACATATTCCAAAAATCATGATGTAAGTGCTTGTTTATTGTTTATTGGTTTTTTTTTTTTTCCTAAAGATTTGTCAATGTTTGAGTTATTCATAAAGAACAATTGCTTTACTTTAAAAGGTCATATTCTTGCTAAGTATCACTACTAGAAAAGCAACCTTTTGCTACTATATAATTGCGACCATTTGATTACCCGTCGCAAATAACCAATTCATTCCTTTTTTTTTTCAATTTTTATATTTATTTTACCCTTTTATCCGTTTTCCTTATATTTTCCCTAGTCCTAGAAAAATTCAAACACTGATCGTTCTCTCTCTCTCTCTCTCTCTCTCTCTCACGCATCACAAACCTATATAGCTCTGCTCTCTCGCTCACTCTTTCACTCGCCATTGTCGTCTGAGATATCCGGCGATATGAATCTCTCTCTCTTCCTCTCTCCCAATTTCTATCTCTCTCAATCTCTGTCTCTACGCCTATACATACATATTTACATGTATCTATGAAGTATGACTCAGATTGTGTAGTGTGAAGTTTAAATGTTAGTCGGCAAAGATTGGGTTGCTGTTGATATAAATGTGTTTCGGTGAATTTGATTGAGGTTTTTGTGAATTGGATTTTGAAAATTGAATCTAATTGCTCAAGGTTGTGGAATTGTTTTAGATGGATTTGAGTTTGTCAATTTCTAAATTTATTTATTTAATTTTTTTTTTTAGTGTGAAATTAGTACTGTTCAATTGTTTTTTGTGTTAATCAAATTGTACTATTCTGAGATCCATGTTCATGTGGAATCTGAAATTTGAGTTTTATATGTATATACCTATAAAATATTTAGACTCTTTTGAAATTCACATCTAAATTTTTTTTCTCTGATATTTTTTATCACAAATATTTCTGTTTCAGCTCCATGTTTATTATTATTATTATTATTATTTTTTATCACAATGCATTCTTCTGATAATGCATTCTTCCATATTAACTAAGAAGGCTAGTGGAGATGTTAAAAATGTTTGTTAAAGTGTATTATATGACAAAAAGTGAAGTCCAATTTTGTATGTTAAGGGTTTGTTCATGTAGTAGCGTATATGGGTGTTCCAATGGAGATGTTAAAATGTGTTGTCGTCTTAGCCTCAGCTACTTCAACTCTGCACAACCTTTTTATTTGTGGAACATTTCCACAAAGCTTAAAAATGATTTTGTGATAAGATCGTCATCTTCACAAACAAATTTTCAAAACCCAAACTTATTTTACAGAGGCAAAATTAAAGATTAATTCTTATAAAAAAGAATGAGAAAGGAGACTTTTTGACTAACCAAAATAAAAACTTTAACTTCTTTGTAAATAAATTCATAATATATTGAATTGATCCTTGTTATGGAGTTTTTTTCCCATAATCTTTCATAACCGTATCAGTTCTGGCTTGTTTTCCTCTCATCCAAAGTGTCATGATTCATGAATTGAACATTAGGCACATTTGCTTTGCAGATGACCTCTTTGTTCTTTGTTATCCTAATGATCAGTCCTTTTAAATAGTTTTTAATGCTGTTCTTGAATGCAATAAATTTTCTGGCCCTCCGCCAAAAAAGAGCAAAAGCAAGATTTATATTATTGGTATTGATGATCAATCTAAGATAGATCGTTGCAATTTAATTCGGGTTCAACTTGTTCCCTTCCGGTCAAATACTTAGGAGTGCCCCTTATTTCTAGTTAGCTCTCAGCTGATAATTGTAAAGGCCTCATTGACAAAATTAGTTTCTTTCCTACACTGGTAGACTTCACATTATCCAGTCTATTCTCTTCAGCAAGTTTTTTGGTCTATGCACTTTATCCTTTTTTTTTTTTTTTTTTTTTTTTTGAGCAAAAACAAAATTTTATTAAAAAATGTGAAAGAGGACAAGGAGGGACCAACTCTTACCTTCATTATAATAAATTCGCTTGAGGACTCTTTGCTTACCTAAAACAGAAGGACGTCTTGGCATTAGAAACCTTCTAGATTGGAACCATGCTTATTTCCTCAGGCATATTTGGGTCATTTACTCTAAGCATCATTCAACTGTGAGTTCAATTAGGGGTGTAAGCGGATTGGTTCAAGGGAAAGTTTAGCACCAAACCGAACCTTTCGGTTTTGTTGGATGAGGAACCAAAACAGACCGCATTCTACGGTTCAATTTTCTCGGTTTGGTGTAGAGAAGGGAACATGAGATTTTAAAAGGGTTTTACAAAAACTTGTATAATCACACATTGAGAATAAATGAAGTAAAATAGTGAAAGTTGCTCTATAAATGTCTCCTCCCTAATTTTTATTAGAAATTGTGTATTGTTAGTCACTTATCTTCTAATGTTCAAAATTTTTAAATATAATATTTCAGTCGTTTCAGTTTGTATGAGTGTATAAAATTTTAAAACCACAACAGATTGCACGTTATGAAAAATAGACCACAAACCAAAATTTCAATTGATCTTGAGCAGTCAGTCTAGTTTCATTGGTTTTTCTTACACCCATGAATTCAATGGTGCTATAGATATCTTATTAGAGGCAAATGCTTTTGGGCTTTTACAGTCCTTTCTGACTGCTCCTGGACTTGGAGACAGGTTCTTAATCTTAGATCCATTGCCAGACCTTTTGTTAAGGATATCATTGGACCTGGCTTTTCCCTCCCTCTCTAATGCCTTCCTTTCAGCCCAATTGTTCTAGAGATGATGAGGTTCAGTGCATTATTTCCTACTCTCTTAAATACAAAGCTACAACACTTTTGATGCTATCAAGCCTCATTCCCTTTCTGTGATTTGGCATAAGATTATTTGGTTCCCTAAGTACATTCCCAGACACGGCTTTGTTTTTGGATGGCTATTAGAGGAAGGCTTAGGACTAAGGCAGGCTCAAAGATTGGGGGGAGATTGATTCACTACTTGTCTCGTTTGTCCACAAAGACGTTGAGTCTCTTTCTCATATTTCTTTAATTGTTCCTTCTCTAGAGCAATTTGGGAGCAGATTTGCTGCTTTTCTAAGGCTCAACATTCTAGGGATAATTAGATATCATGGATTGCTAACCAATTTAGTGGGAATTTTTTTTTCCATATAGTGAGGAAAATTGCTTAGGCTGCAACGGTATACTACATCTGGCAAGAGAGAAATCATGGGATTTCAAAGGATGTCATAGGCCTACATATTTGATGAATCAGATTAATTCTGATATTAGAGTTCAATGTTCTCAGTTTGCATCTATTAAGCAATCTTACTCTAATCTGCTATTGTGTAAAAACTGGTAGATTTCTAAGAGAATTTTTGCTCCTCATTAGTCTAGCTGCTTCTTGTTTTTCTTGATTTTGGTATTTGAAAGGTATGCCTCCCTTGATTTTTGTATTCTTTGTTTCTTTTAATGAAATTCTCACATACCAAAAAAATATATATATTCATAATAGGATGACCTTAAACTAATTTTAAGCTTTTAATTGACTTAAGTGCAATTAAATGGCCATTCACTTAAGTGTAAATTTTAATAATCCCTAATAAAAATGAAATGCCCAAACAAAAACTTGAAACACCTAATTCAATCCATTCAATTTGATATCACTCTGCATCACTACTTAGTGCCTTTATGATGATTGAATTGAAGCTTGATTAACGAGCCCACTAAGAAAAAAAAATGATATACATATATATATATATATATATATATGCTTGTATACTCACCAAAACAGACCTTAGTTCACTAGTCTGCAACAGATTGATTAACCTCGTGGGCTATGAACTCATAAACATGTAAAACACTCTTGCTTCAAGTTTTAAACCTTTCACTAAATATTTGATTCATATTTCTAGAACTCTACATAATTATGTATATTATATGATTAAAAAATTTGAAATTAGGTTTGTATTTTTTTCTCCCACGGATAAAACTATTGGACTGATTCATCTGACTTGGACTAAGATTCTAAAGCTAAAAGTTGCAATCATTCACCATGAAATGCTTATGGATTAGCTACCTCCTATAGTAGAGACTAGAGAAAAATGTGATTAGCTTTGAAATGTTCCATGTGATACATGATTAGGAGTTCAACTTTCGCTGTCATTTCTTGCTATTGGTGGAACAATCCATGTTAGCTGAACTTCTTTTAGCTGTCATTGTTGCTGATTATTTGTTTTCATTCTAGTACTTCAAAGATCTGTTGTCAAATCATAGAAAGGCTTGTACTAAATAAATTGTCCAATTTGAAATCCATCAAGACAGAAAGTGACCACTGCCCATTGGCACTGTGTAACAATTGACATGATTGAAGTAACAAAAAGTTATTGGATATTCATAATAATAGTTAGGGTAAATTACAATGATCTCTCTTGAGATTTGGATGAAATACAGTAAGCTCCCTTGACATTTAGTTTTAAATTATAGTGACCTCCTCTAAGGTTTAATCAAATTGTAGAAACCTCCCCTAAGATTTTTGAAATGATAGAAAACTCCCTTAAGGTTTAGTTTTTTATTATAAATTCCCTCTTTTGTTACTTTATCGTTATAAAAAAAAAATTGTTGACAATATCAAATAAGTTAATTACATTTCTAATTTTACTCTTAAAATTGTGACTAATTACAAAGAAATAAAAGAATACAAATTCTATTTTCTCTTTTTGTTATGCTTGCAATGGGACTGTTTGTTTCAACTTTTCAAAGCTAACTTATAGCTTTTAGCTTTGAAAAAATTATTTTGGACTGTTTGGTTAAACTTATTTCAAACAGCTTCTGATTCTAACAGTTTATTTTAACTTTAAAAAGCTGATTGTGAGAAGCTGCTCACCGCTTGCTTTTGATTATCAACTTCTGCTGTGGACATGTTAATATATAGTTATACTCTTAGATTTTTTTATTTTTTATTTTTTTAAAAATAGAAAAAGACCAAAATGGACTATAGATTATTATTATTATTTTTTATGAGAAATGTAGACAAGTAGTAAATAACAAAAAATAAAAATTAATTGAAAAAATTATTTCACAGCTTATTTAACAAATACTACTCAGCAACTTAAACCTATAATCCAACAGCTACACCAAACAGATTAACAACTTCTGATTAAAGTTATAATCTATAATCTGTTAAACTATAATCTATAAATTATTTTAACAGCTACACCAAACTGAGCCAATTACTATTGATTGCTTATGCTTCCTTTATCCAAAACCCACATGTTGCCAAGTATATATCCCGCATGTCATGATAGGATTATTGTAACTATTTACTTAATCTGTTAATGGTTTGAATGGAAGGAAATCAGAACTAATTCATGAAAAATTCTACAAGTACGTGGTTTAGTTTCACACTTGTGCATCCATTTCAATATGATTGACTACTTCTTTAGCTTTTATTGCTCTTATTGCCTCTCATAGTTTCATCAATAGTGCATAAATACTGATTTTTCAAGAACAACATAGTTACTAAACGGTAACCATGTCATGATCAGCATGTCCAACCTTCAGCTAATTCATATACTAGCAGCACAAATTGATGTAACAAGTGTGAATCATTTGTTTTTTTCAACATGATTATATTTGAACAACATAAACCATTTATTGTCTTGACCCTGAGATATCTAAGATTGTCTATTCAAATGGGTTTTGCTTTAAAATGGCCTTAGAAGCATAAAATGCCTAAAGATTACTTTGTGCTGATTGTATGAATTTGTGGCTGCCTATGACAGGGATGAAATTAACGAGATTGAGCGCATTGAGTCCTCCATGATTCAGAGATTGCATGTTTCTTTCTTTATTTATTTCTGTTCATCTTTATGGATTTGTGCTTTCTTTTTGGTGTTGTTGAAGGTTATTTGACTTCGTTTTTATGATAGCAGGTGCTGTTAGGCTTTCGGGTCACAATGACAGTAGCATGATAGCTGCAAGTTTTGAAGTGGTTGTAGCGTTGGATACATTGCTGGTGGGGAATATATTGGGCTGCTTATTATAGGTCTGAGGTTGGGTAACCGGAGGTGGTTTCATTCAGCTGTTCTGATCTCAGACTCCCTTTGTGTTAATTTCTCTTCTGCGAAATAAAGATTAAATGCAGGTCTTATTGGGCTATGTATAATAATATTAGTGTGTGATGGACACTGGGTGCTCTAGCCTTCTGAGGTCAGAGGGTTAGAGCCTCCTATCATGCCCACTATTTTTTTGAGCGATGATTTGAAGTTCAATTTCTGTTATAATTTTATATTCTTTCACTAGTGTTTGTATTTTGTGTTGATTATTGGAGTTTACTCTTGAATTTTAATTCTGAGGAATACCCAGCTAGATGTTATGATGAAGATAGATGCACTACTAAAATTTCAGCTTTTTGCGACGGTAAAATGCCGTCGCTAATACTCCTAATGCCGTCGCAAAAAACTTTTTGCGACGGTAAATGACTTTTTGCGACGGCAAGAGGGGGGTCGCAATTGGGAGGGTTGCAAAAGAGTTTTTGCGACGGCACAATACCGTCGCTAATGTTTTGCGACGGCATTTTAGCTTTTTGCGACGGCACTTTGCAGTCGCTAATAATATTTGAAATTTCTTTGACTTTTTGCGACGGCACTATTTTACCGTCGCTAAAAATGTTATTTGAGACGGCAAAAATTACCGTCGCTAATAGTCTTTTTTTTGTAACAGCAAAAACATTGCTTTTGTGACGGTTTGATGCCGTCGCAAAAAATATTAAAAATATAAAAATTTCTATTTTTTGCGACAGTATACTACCGTCGCAAAAAATATTAAAAAAATAATAAAATTTCTATTTTAAATAATAAATTTTCTATTTTTTGCGACAGTTTAGTACCGTCACAAAAGGTAAAACCTATGACAAAATCAATAAAAATATTAAAATTTTCTATTTTTTGCGACAGTATAGTGCCGTCACAAAAAAAAAATCTCTGATAAAATTATTAAAAATATTAAAATTTCTCCATAATAATATAAAAATTCCTATATAAAAATAACAATTTCTCCATAATAAAATACTCTTCCATTCATAATTACACATCAACAAAACTATTCCACTACATAATGTTCCATAATCATATATAATGTTTAAATACATGATTTTGTTCATAATTCAAAATAACATAAATCAAAATTAAATATTTTTCTCATCATTCTTCGTAAATAACAAAAACAAAAATTAGTCACATTCTCCACAGGCATGCATTCCACAAGAAGCACACTCTTATATGGGAAATATCTGAAAAATAAAAATAAAAATAATTAATGACAATATAATTATGTGTTAATGTTAATTACAAAAAAACATAAAAATTTAACTACTATAGCATCAAATACAACATTTTTTTTGTTAGTCATCAAATCCCACATGGATAATTAAACATCTCAATCAAATACAAAAATAAAAATTTGAATACTATATCATCAAATACAAAAAAACATAAAAATTATATCTGAAATCTAGCTCTAACTCCCAACAACATCAAATACAACATTTTTTTTGTTAATCATCAAATTCCACATGGATAATTAAATATCTCAATCAACAATGAGAACAGATGCATTTCTGAGAAAATTAAGCAATGGAAATAAGTTATGACACATTCAAAGAAATGTCAACCTTCTAGTATCTATACAAAAGTTCATCATCCTTCAACTAATTGGCAAATACGCATATATACAAAATTAACATAAAGGTGTAGATATATCCTAGACTAAGCTATATGCTACACAACAAAATGTAAACCTCTAGACCTATATACAACAGGTATTTTATTCGTGGAGTTCCATAACTATGTTAATTTGTGGTTAAGCAAGCTCCAAATGCTCTTTTGGAAGAATCAAATTTTTATACACTACTCAAAACGGACTTCTTAAAAACATAGTTCTTTCTAATGTTGTAACTACAACCCTTTATTCATCAAATAGAGGTTAATATACAACCTTTAAATAAGATGACAATTAAAAAAAATGAAATAAAAGACCTAGGAACAAGCAATGAAGATTTTTAACCCCCAACAATACGTTTGATGGGATCAATTTGTAATGTCTCTAATGAACGCAATGATAATTTCAAATTTAAATGGCCTTAAACATCAATCAATGAGTTATCCATATCTATTGATATGATAGATATAGATATCCTGAATGGTTATCCAAAGTTTTGAATTCAAATTCAAACTTATATGGATAACGTTTAAAGGGTTCAGGTTCAAAAGGTTCAAAGGGTCATGCCACATGGGCGCCCAATTTCTAACACAAGTAATTATCTAGTCTTCTAGGAATTTTAAGGTGGTAGCATGCCCATCCAGTGGCAAACAATGTGCATTTACATAGCCTCAAAAAATAAAAATAATATGAGAAAATAATAAAATACAATTAGTTGGGCACACGATTACGTGGTATTCCCGGAATGCTTGATAATTTTTGAAAATGTAGGTTTTGATTCGTAGAAGATAAGGGGTCAAAACATTTTTAATTGTCCGAAAATCAGATAATCAAAATAACAAAATAATTTATATGTATATGTGAATGATAACATGGGTGGAACACAGATTCTGATTCCTCATAGATGAGGGGTCAAAACTTTTTTAATTGTCCAAAAAATCATAGAATCCAAATAACAAAATAATATATATATATATCACTACTAAAATTTCAGCTTTTTGCGACGGCAAAATGTCATCGCTAATACTCCTAATGTCGTCGCAAAAAACTTTTTGTTACGGCAAGAGGGGGGTCGCAACTAGGGGCGTTGCAAAAGAGTTTTTGCGATGGCACAGTGCCGTCGCTAATGTTTTGCGACGGCATTTTTGCCTTTTGTGACGGCACTTTGCAGTCGCTAATAATGTTTGAAATTTCTTGACTTTTTGCGATGGCACTATTTTACCGTCGCTAAAAATGTTATTTGAGACGGCAAAAAAAG